ACTGCATATGATATTAATATATATAGCTAAATTTTTCCATATGTTATGTCATGCTATAAATATTTTTGTGGAATGTAAGATTATAAACTTGTATGCACTTCTGTTTGTATAAGGATTTTCAAAATGTTTTCTCCATTCAAGCTAAGAATGTAAACATCATATCAACTTACATGACAAAGTAAAATTTAACACTAAAATATTAAAAAGTAAATCTTAAGATCTTTGCAAATAATAAGATTGACTGTGTTTATGCCTAGATTGAGTAAGGGGAGTCTAGGCCAGGAAATCAGGATTGATCTAATACTCACAAATTATTCAGTGCAATACATTAGACTAGCTGTTGATTGAGATAAAACTATGATTAAATCAATCATTAGCATACCATATATTATTTGGTCAATATGACTATATCATCAGATCAACAGATGAATAAAAAACATGATTATATTAATTGATGCAAAAAAACATTTGATAAATTCAATGCCCACTCATGATAAAAACTGTCAAAAACCTCGAAAAAAAGGAGCCACCATAATCCATTAAAGCTACATATAAAAATACAACTGATAATGCTTAATTATTAAAAACTAAACTCTTTCTCCATAAGATTAGGAACAAGACAAGGATCTTCTCTTTCCCTAATGCTATTAAACATGTTACTAGAAGCCCCACTTAATAAGACAAGAAAAAGAAATAAAAGGTACAGAGATTGAGTTATCTTTATTCACACATGTAATAATTGTTTTGGTAGAATACCTCAGGAAATCTATTATTTGATAAATCTACTATTTGGTTTAACAAACTACAAAGCTTGTGTAGCAAGCTTTCAGGATATGAAATCAATATATAAGTGAATAGCTTTCCAACAAAGAACATTGGAATACTGATATGAAAAAAAGCAAAGAAAAAATTCCATTTAAAATAGCAGTCTTCCAAAAGTTAAACACTTAGATATAAATATTATAAAATATGTATAATAACTGCTCTTGGAAAATTACAAAATACTGATGAGAAAAATCTAAGATCTTAGTCAGTAGAGACATATTCCTTGTTTATGATATGGAAGACTCAATAATGTTAAGATGTCATTTCTTCCCAACTTGATTTATAGGTTCAATGCAATCCCACTCAAAGTTCTATAGATATTCACTACATACACACATTAAAATTATTTACTTTCCATTCTAAAAATGTATAGCAAACACATAACACCACTATAACCATGAGAATATCAAATAAGCCTAAAATGTAGAGCAGTGTAGAGGAATGAAAGTCAAGGAATTATGAGAAGCTTAGAGTTTAGAGAAGTCAAAGGAGACATGGCAACGGATTGCACTGTATTCTAATAGGATACTGGAATGGAAAAACTAAACAAAAGATCATTAGAACCAGTTATGATGATGTATGACTATAATCCCAACCATTTGGGTTGCTGTGGCAGCAGGACCTCAAGTTGGAGGTAAGCTTCAGAAACTTAGAATTCTTTCCTCAAAAAAAAAAAAAAAAAAAAAAAGCTGGGGATACAGTGATGGAAGTCAATGGTTAAGCACCCCTGGGTTCAATCCTCAGTACAAAAGAAAAGGATATTAGATTAAAAAAAAAAAAAAAACTAAGCAAAATCACAGTCATATATTGAACTTAGTTAATAATAACATAACAACATTATTAGATTATTATATAATATTAATATTTTATTATATCACATGTAACAAATACCATTTAATTATTTGTGGCAAGTATACAATATTAATGTAAGATGATAGTGATAAGAGAAATTGAGTATGCAATACATGGGACTTTCATATTTCCATTGAAAATTTTCGGTAAATCTAGAATTATTCCAAAATAAAAAAGTGTATTCAATAATTTTTAACACGACTTCCTTAAAAATCACTATAAAGTATGTAGTCTTTCCCTTAGCAGTGGAAATTAAAAGTGATAATAACATTGATGATAGATTAAGAATGTGAACCAACGGGTATTTAATATAATGCTGGCAAGTATCTAAATTGAAAATGTATTTAGAACACTTTATGATATTAAAGGTACAGCACACACACACACACACACACACACAAATTATTTAAAAAAAAAGAGTCATGAATTTGCCTCAGAAAGGCAAATCTCATTAATTCAATTTTACTATAAAGAGAAGGAGGTTCACCATTACAGTGGCAATTCAGTGTTTAAGATTTCATCTCTTTTTTGCACAATAAGCTCATAAATTCATACAGAGTTAAAATTAGTCTTATGATTTATTCTCAGGAAAGAGTCACATTCAGAATGGGTCTAGGAGAGTAGGGTCACTAATTGATTCTTTAATAATTACCTAGATTTGACGGGGTAGGACCAGTTGCATTGGAACATAGTACTGAATTTTTACATCACCCAAGCAAGTATTCTGTGAGTATCCATCAAAATCGAAGAATTCCTTGATTTCACACATGATGACTATAGTATGTGGAAAAAACTTATACTTCCTGGTTTTAAAGTTTGCATTTGTAATTTGGTAGTCTTGTAAACTTTGTAAAGTTATTTATTGTAAATAAATTTTCAGTAAATATTATCTACACTAAAAACTATGATCCAATAATATATAATAATCAAACCCCTATTTATTAATTTATATAATAAGCACCACAAGCACCATTAAGACCGGTCTTGCACTATTTTTCATTTATTCAGTTTTATTTGCAGTTTCTGGGTTGATTCACACTATTCTTAATCTCACTTTTTCATATTCTCTTAGCCATCCTGGAATGCATCTCTCTAAATTCAGATTATAGTATACATCATATCAATACAATTGCTATTTGTCCATTTTTCTAACTAGGCTGGATGTGTTTCTTGAAAACAGACACTCAGCTTTACTTTTCTGTGTATCCCAAGCATTCATAACAGATCTGTCATGGCACAGGTACTATGTAAATGTGTGAATATTGCTTATTAACACTGTATTTTAGTCAGTGTTTCTGGATCCTCTAACAGGTCTAGGACTGTGATTTGACAACTGGCATTTTTGTGATTTATATAAATTATTCTTTAAAGACAGCAATATGATAGCATTAATGTCATTTCATATATTGATTTCCTAGGGATGACATAGGTAATTACCACAAACTTGATACCTTAAAGCAGTAGAGACATATATGCTCTATGAATGATATTCTGACTGGGGAGAGATAGCATCTCAATGCAGTTTTGATTTGCATTTTCCTGATGGATGAAGATGTTGAACACTTGTACTTTGTTTGGTTATTAGTTTGTTTCTGTTACTGGGGATTCAACCTAGGATTGCTCTACCATTGAACTGCATCCCTAACTTTATTATTTTATTTTTATTGTTTTAAATTTTTTTAGATGTTGATGGATCTCTTTATTTTAGCCATATATTTATATGTGGTGCTGAGAATCAAACCCAGTGCCTCACACATGCTAGGCAATTGTTTTACCACTGAGTCACAACTCCAGCCCGTTTATTTTTATTTTACTTTGGAGACAGGATCTTGTTAAGTTGCTGAGGCTGACCTTGAACTTATACCCTCTTCCCTCAGCTTCCTAAGTAGTTGGGATCCCAGGGCTTTACCACCTTGCCAGGCTGTACTTCTTTAGAAAAATGTCTGCTCGAATCTTTTGCCTATTGATTTTTTTCTTTTATGTTTTTGTCTTGTTAATTGTTTTATTTTTTTAATACATATTCTGGATATTAATGGTCTTTCAGAAGAGTAGCTGGAAAAGATCTCAGTTCTTTGAGCTTTCTCCTTACTCGGTTGGTTCCTTTGTTTGGCAGAATCTTCTCAGTTTGATGCAGCCCCATTTGTTGGTTTTTGCTATTATTTCCTGATCTTTTGGAGTCCCATTCAGGAAGGTGTTGCCTATGCCTGTGTCTTGACTTGTTTTCATTGTGTTTTTTTCATCTTATATTTTCAAAGTTTTGGGTCTGACATTTAGGCATAATGAGGGAAAACATGTTATATTTGTCTTTCTGTGTGCCTGGCTTATTTTGCTTAACATATGGATATCCAGTTCCACCCATTTTCCTGCAAATGGCATGATTTTATTTTTCTTTATGACTGAATAATACTTCATTGTATGTATTACCACACTTTTTCTATCCGTCCATCTGTTGATAGGTACCTAGACTAATTCCATAACTTGGTTATTGTGAATTATGCCATAATAAACATAGGTATTCAGGTATCTCTATACTACAATAACTTTAATTCCTTTGGATATACACCAGTTATGATATAGGTAGATCATATGTGGTATACTATTTTGAGTCTTTTGAGGAATCTCCATCCTGACTTCCATAGTATAATTTATATTACCACCAATAATGTGTAAGGTTTCCTCTTCACCCGCATCTTAGCCACCATTCATTGTAAAAAATTCAGAACAATGACGAGAGAAATGAAGAAGATACTGGAAGATGGAAAAACCTCCCAGATTCATTGATTAACAGAATTATTATTATTAAAATGTCATATTACTGAAAGCTTGGTAGAAAGAAATCAAACTGGGTTACTCACCATTGTGAAAATTGAAATACAGATTCAAAGTGTAGGAAAGGCTATACTTCCTCTGAAGGTTCTAGGAGAAATTCTTCTATCACCTAGACAGTCTATGTGTTCCTTGACTTGGGGCTACATACCTCTACTCTGCCTCCATCTGTACATGGCCTCCTCCCTTGTGTTTCTCTGTATCTCTTCTTCTAAGGACTCACCATTGGATTTAAAGCCCACTGAATTAATACAGGATGATCTCATCTCAAGATGCTTAATTACCTCTGCAAAGATCCTTCTTCCAAATAACATCATGTTCAGAGTTACTAGGGTCATAGTACTTGGACCTGTTTTGGGGGGTTCAAAATTCTATGCATCATACTATGGTGACACAGATCACTATTTACATATTTGAATGACAGAATTGCAGGAGATATTGCTCATATACTATATATAAATATATAAATTTTTCTTCTTTTCACTGTTCTTCCTTAGATGCCTTCCTGGATTTTCTGGTCAATTTTGTGAAGATAATATAAATGAATGTACTTCATCACCATGTCTACATGAGGCAATCTGTGAAGATCTTATCAATGGATACATTTGCAAATGTCAACAAGGTAATTATTAAAAATATTAAGTATAAAATGAATGAATATTTAATATGTATGTTAGTATACAGATGTATATGTGTACATAGTACAATTTTAACAGTAGACTCCATCAATAGTTTTACTGACTACCAATCAGGTTCTAAGCAATCCCTGTGCTTAAAAAATGTGAAATGAATGTTCTGACACTGGAAAGCAATCACTTAGGCTGTCAGAAGGAATGGATTTTTTGAATTTATATAAGCTTCAGATTCTTGATCTTTATATCAAATATTTCCTGCACAGAGCAAGTCATTTATAAATGTTAGTGCTTATTGATATTGACAACATTATTTCTTTCATAATTTTCAGCACAGAAATGGACAAACTCAATAAGCTGCTTTTATGCAAGGAATAATTGCTGCTATGATCTGAAATATTTGCATTCCTCTAAAATTCATATGGTAAAACATAATCACCAATATGATACTATTAACCAGTTGTGTTTGCGGGAGGTGGTTAGGTAAAGAGAGTAGATCTCTCAGGAATGGAATTAATGGTCTCATAAAAGAGTCCCCAGAGAGCTGGCAATCTCTCTCCACTATTCTAGGGCACAGGCAGAAGGCATGGCCTAAGAATCATGAAGCAGGCTCCCCAGTCATTGAATCATCCAGCAATTTGATCTTGGAAACTGCCTAGCCCCTAAAACAGAAAAATCATTGTCTTTAGTTTATAAGCCATCTAGTCTATAGCATTTTGTTAAAGCATCCATAGTCTCTTTAACTATATAATGACATAAACATTTATCATTTTTCCCTCTTCCTTTTTTTTTCTTTAAATGTTCGTGTTTGTTGCTCTTTTCCTGTTCTTCTGTCATTCATCTTCAACATTTAGGTACATCCACCCAGAAGTAATGTTGAATGACTGAATTTCCCTTAGCAACAAGTATTATATGTGGTGTATATTTTTGGATATATAAAAATATCACTATTTTTATATTCTATAGAAGACTTTAGAATACCCCATGGGTCTGAGTTTAATATTGAGTCTACTGAGAGAAAAACATGCAGGTAGTCATGTGGGAATTAGTGCTTATAAGATTTATGTGAAGCTGTAGGAAATAGTGAGTATGTGTCAATGAATATCACCTGCATGAATTTTCCAAGTTTAGAAATCACTGAGAGCCCAGATCTGTTTACTTTCCTACTCATTTCTGACTTATTACTGGTACCAGATTTTATCTGGTTACATAACACATCTAGAAATAAGTGCACATGGAATTTTGAAGTTGCCTCCTATACATAAAACTTTAACTTTTGAAATAAAAGAAGGAAAGATTAAATTTTCTGATACAAAGGATAAATGCCATTTCCATAGTTTGATCTCTTTTAAGCAGAACTATATTTATCATAGTCTTAACATTTAAATCCCTATGACAGTTAACATAAGCAATGGAAATAATTCTCCAAAAGAAGTTGAGTGCAACCTCTACATAAATTGTAGTTTTTAACCCATCAATACATATAATTGATACTTTCATATTTTTCCATGTTCTTAAAGTTATTACCACTTCTAGATTAGTTTTGATGCTGTAAGTTAAAATCCTACTTCTTCTGGATTTACTTAGAAGCATGAAGCCATTTTGAAATTGCTGCAGCCTTCAAATGAAGCTTAAGCATTCCTCCTAGTTCCATAGTAGAAAGTAGAAGACCTAAAATGAGACCCTCCAGTGTTATTAGGTGTTAAAAGTTGCTGATCTTTTTGAATTAAGGCAGATATTCACTACCTTTTGCAGGAGCAAAAACAAATGAAACAAACTCTTGGAAAGTGTTGTGCATCCTCCTGCAGACCACTGTCCCTGCTTCAAGTGGATGTCAGCAGCCATGGCTCTTAAACATGCCAACTCACCCTCTCTCCCAAGTTATTTGAGAAACAATCTTTATCCTATTGATCACCTTCCATCTTATCTATCTTTGTTTTCTCTGTCATAGTTGACTATATTATCAGGGTATATTTATTCCTATAACACAATGTACTCTCTGGTTACCTATCTGTTTTTGACAAATACATAAAGTTGCATAAAAACAACCACAGTCAGTCAGTCAGTTACCACCATTTTCCCCAAGTACACTCTTGTTCCCCTTTGAAATCAAATTTTTCCTCACTCCCAACAGAAAATGTTTTTGACAGAATTATAACATTTTCTTCAATATCTTTTAATTATAACATTTTATTTCCTTACAAATTCTGTTATTGAGCACTTTTTTCCTTATATTTTGAATTTCAGACTTTGGGAGTCAAATTTGGGAAGACTTTGACATAGAAGTGCTTATAAAATAATAATAATTATGATAGCAATAACAGTATTGGTACACAGACAGCATGCTGTTCTTTTTATTATTATTATTATTTTATTTTTTAGTTTTTGGCGGACACAACATCTTTGTTTGTATGTGGTGCTGAGGATCGAACCTGGGCTGCATGCATGCCAGGCGAGCGCACTACCACTTGAGCCACATCCCCAGCCCCAACATGATATTCTTTATGCAATAACTCCTCTGGTTTTTATAACAACCTTGAGAAGAATGTATCTCATTTTACCGTCTCATTTTATCAAAGAGAAAGCAGTGCCAGAGCCACTCAGTAATTTCTCAGAACATGTTAGTGGCAAAACTAGATTCATAATCAGGAAGCCTAGCCTAGCATTTATATACTTCTCATCTCTCCCAAAAAATGTTATGTTGCTGAATAACAACTCCCCATAAAGTCTCAGTTATGCAAGACGAATAAATTCTAGAAATCTGCTGTACAGCAACCATGTGTATAGTTAACAGCAACATATTGTACAGTTAAAAATTTGCTACAAGAATCAGTCTCATGTTTAGTGCTTTTCCTACAATTAAGAGTTCTAAATGACAACCATTTAAAAAGGAGTCTCTTCCAATAAGATCCAACAGTGTGTTATGGTTTAGTCTGGATTCTAATAACTGTGAGAATTCTTCAAAAAGGTCTCACACCCAGATATGTCAGATTCTCTTTTTAAAAGCTTTTATAATCAAAATCTTTCCACTGCTCTGTCAGAGAATCTGTATTTTCACAGATGTCATACAAAGACACAAAGTCTAATTCACTTGGTTGATGCTTATCTGCTTTTCCTTGTCATCCATGGAAAACACTAACCTTAAATAATATTCATAACTCTTTTTAGAGTCTTATCTTTTTCATGCCATTTTGCTAATCTTACATAGTGAGATGGAAGTCTACTTTGGCTAGGCATTCTTAGGTCTTTAAGTTATGCACCATAAATCATTGCTATTTTCTATTTCTGTCAGTTGTGGAAATATTCCTTAACTTTACGTCATGTTGCCAATTGCCAAAATTTATACATATTCATCAAACATCTCTCTCTTCTTTCATGGCAATAACCTTGAATGGTTCGTTTATTGTGCCCTAAGATTTATAATTTTATCTTTCTTCTCTCTTCCCTCTTTTAATCTAAACAGCTGTATGACTCCTGCAGTCCTGAAACATTCTGAACAGACCAAACTTTGAAAAAATAAATACTTGTTTTCTTAACAGATGTGTCTGTAGAACACACTAAAATTTAAATTGGATCTAAGTAGACTAAAACGCATTCTAAATGTTATTTAGTTTTGTATTAACACATCCTAGTAGAAAAGTTGTACAATAATGGGTCCTCTGGGAGTTATAGCACAGACTGAAAACAAAAAAAAGGAAATTATTTATGATGTTAGCCAGTGTTGCAAAGTCACTGACAGAGCCATGTTTGTACCAGTCCTGTATCTCTAAGTAGGCAAACTATTTGCTTATGTCCCTTCCTCCCAGCCAGTAGGTACAATGTATGACAAGTGGATTACAGGTTGGATTTCAGACCTCAATCTTCCTCTTTACATGAAATTTTCATGAAAAGACAACCCGAATAGCGCTTAGGACAGTCCTGAATATACAATTCATCTTGTATGTATATAATGAACTGAATGGTTTATGAACTCATTTGTACTAAAGTATCAATACAGGGATTCAAGTTGCATTGACATAAGTTGTGTTTTAGACTAAATGGTCCCATTGACATTGTTATGTAACAATGCTTAACTTATACTCCTAAGTGCAGCCAGAGCCATCTCACTGTGAGCAATAAGAAAGTGATGAGGAACAGACTCTGTGCTGCAAATGTGATTGCTGCACCCATTGTTGTTCTGAATCCCTGGAGCAGTCATTGGGCCCAAATAATTATACCCAGGAGGGTGTAATGATGTCTGTAGTGATGATGTAGACTGCAGAAACACAGCGTGCCTTTAAAGCAGCATTATTCTTTTTGCAGCAGAAATGCTGCCTCGTCCGAATGGCAAGGAAACAGAAACATAGATCATGTCTGTTACCAGTGCTCACAATTACAAAGTTAGGAATGGGAATTCTGTGTTTAGAACAGAAGTCACACAGAACAATTTATCTTTTTAATCAAGGCCCATAAAAAGTGAAATAATCGTTGACATAAAGAAGAGTTTATAAGATTATATTTTCATGATGACTTAAATATAAAAATCAATTCTTCATATTCTAAAATTAACTTAAATATAAAAATCAATTCTTCATATTCTAAAATTATACTAAAAAGTAATTTTAATTTATGCTATCCAATTACTAGATAATATAATAACCAGTAAGAATTATTGTAGGTTTATCACTTGGCACTGAGAAGATGGCTGGAATTAAAAGAAAATATAAAATTATTTGAAAGAGTGACTTTTAATTTCATTAACAAACTCAATCTAATATAACTGCTCTGGGATAACATAGAATGAAAGTATGTTTCCAGTTATTTATATAGATGTATTTAAAGTTTTTTTAATTCATAAACTTAAGTATCACTATAATATTTATCATAATGTTCAATCTAAAGTCATGTTTATTTTTTACTTGAATTATTTGTCATTGTTCTAACAGGATTTATTTATTTTCTAATTTGTGTCAGATATTAGATTAATAATGTTAGTTTGTAGTCATCATGATTTGACCACTATTTTTGGATTGCTAATGAAATATTTTATTTCTTGTTTTTAATTACCAAAATATTTTTTAATACTTGGTTGCCCTATTACGGTGACCATCAAACTTATATGAGGTTTAATGGACAATGTGTTTCTTCAGCTCTGCTTCACAGGACAATTTTAAATCTTGCCCAATGGATATCCATTGGTCTGATTTATATTCTCTTATTCTCTTTCTATTTCTCACCATCATGTCACTTCATGGCAGTATAAGCACCTATCTTTTTTACTTATTTCTTTATTTTTGATGAGTATGACAGCTTTTCAGCATCCATCCTGTCTATTGTGGTTTCCTGTACTGCAGTGGCAAGCAAGTTAAAAGCTACAATTTCTAGATGCTCATGAAGCTGAGGTCATGAATATAATTGAGTCTCACTAATAATAAATATATCTGGATTCTGAAGGCTCCTGTGGTTTCTGGTGGTAAAGAAGGTCATGTAGATATGTGCTTTTCTGCAGAAGATCTCACTGTGGGTCACTGGCTTTATGTATATTAAAATGTAGCACAAGTACAAGTGGCAGCCATACCAGGCAGTTGGTGTTCTGTCATGAGCTCCAGGGCAGGCAGGGCAGCTGGGGTACTGTAGTGGACACTTCCCAGCATCACGGCTCACCTGGATTATACAGTGAGTTCTCCAACTCAACATTACTATTTGTCACCCCATCATTCTAGCTGAGGGGCAAAGTCCTCCCAGAAAGTCCTGTCTGTCCTTGGAGTTGTTAGGGTCGGGCAAACGTCGGAGGAAAGGACCACCAAGAGACTGTCTCATGCAAAAGCAAAGGGGTTTATTGGACCAGCATGCTGGGGCTCAGAGTTCTCCTGAGAGAAGCTGGAGCCCTGAGCACAGCTTAAGCAGAGTTTTTATGCAGTGTTTAAACAGGGAAGTTCATATGGCAGTTAGGGTGCGAGGGTGGGATTGTTACAAAATAACCATTACAGAATAATCATGCATTTTGTCAGGGGGTGTTGGGTCAGGGTACATTTTGACATAAGTGACTGTTTTTAACATAAGTTTCGGGTTCCAGGAAAACAGAACTTAAACTTACAGAAAAGCAAAGCTTAAACTTAACAGGAGAGCAAAACTTAAATTTAACCTTTACAGAGTTACTTCTTAGCCCTTTCTTGTAATTATTTTGTAAGCACCTAATCTCATTAGAAGGCTTTCTTTGTTTAAATATGTAAAGTGAATTATACTTCTTGTGTTGCACCCTGATTTATTTATCTTCTAGTCTTGTCCTAGGAAGAATAGGAGTCTAAATTTAGTCAGAGAGTGTCTACAAACACAGGGGGCCTAATCATTATTAGGCCCCTCAGCCTACTCCTCTAGTTACTCTCCCTATAGCTCACCCCAGCATTTGTTTTAGAGAAATTAAGTTGAAGTGTTCTCCTCTATTGAAATAAAGGAGAGTATCTAAGAATATCAAATATTTTTGATTAATATATTTATTGTCTATTTAATTGGTCCAGTACATTTATTTATTTATTTATTTATTTATTTTAGTTGTAGATGGACACAGTATCTTTATTTTTATTAGTTTATTTATTTATTTTTAAGGGGTGCTGAGGATCGGACCTAAGGCTATAAGCTTGCTAGTGCTCTATCACTGAGCTACAACTCCAGCTCCATCTTTTTACTGTCCTCATAATTTAATTCTAGCTTCCTCTATATGCCTCTAAGACCATATTTCTTTCCCTTCAACCTGAAGTAACTATTCTAAATTTTATATTCAAAATTCCATTCTTATTTCTTAGGTGTTCCTAAGTAATGTTACTAAGTTTTCCATGTATGTATTGTATTGTATTGTATTTGTATGTGTTCAACATTTATAAAGTCCATTTTTAGGATGCAAGTATTTTTAATAAATAGGCGTTATGCTCAACTAAGTTTGAGAGATTCAAAGATGTGAATAATGTGAATGACTGGTCATAACAACTTTTTACAGTAGTTGCAAAGTTTTTTTCTTTTTCTTTTTTTCTTTCTTTCTTTTTTTTTTTTTTTTTCCTGTATCGTCTTTTGTAACTTCCAGAGTGGAGATCCCTATGGAATCATCTAAGCACATGAAAGAGCATTGCAAAGTGGAAAGAATCTTAGACAAAGATTTGATACAATTAGCCTTCTAGCAGATATATCTAAGTTTGATCTGGACATTACTAAGTACTTAAAAGTGGTCCTCATTTCATTTTATAAAGTAGCATTACATTAAATATTTTCTGATTTCTCTAGAATATTATATTTAATTTTCTCCTATAATTTTTCAGGAAGAACAATAAGGTTATGTTCTTAAGTAGGAACAACAGTAATATTTCACATTTCTCAGTAGCTGCTTTTCAAGTTAAATGCTTGGGTAATACATAGAAATTATTTCTATGTATTGGGTAATACACAGAAAAATAAAGAAAGATTAAAACGTTGCAATTATAGCTGGCATAGTTATTCAGCTAGCAGCCAGCAGCCAGCACTGGGAACTTGCTCTGAAGACATGTTGTACCCATGTAGAATGAGATAGTTACATTAATATGATGCTGTAGCTGACCTGGTAAATTTACTAAGATAATTACAAATAATTTCCTGACATGAAAGAATCAATGGTTTGAAAAATGTACCTCTTATGTACCTAGGAGACCACAGCTGCTGACAAATTATGTTGTGGAGGGCTTAGCAATGTTAACTCCAGCTTAATGATGAAGATGATGCAATACTAGGAAGAAAACAAATAAAATGCACACATGAAAACAGTGTTTTGTTACGGAAAATCAGATAACCTTTTTTAAAAAGAATTTTTACACTCAATCCTCAGCTGAGCATACGTAAAATATTTACATTCCACAGAATGATATCTTGATAATATTAACATAAAATATTACAAATATTATAAAAAACATTGCATATCTAGATATTGATAGTGTTGCTTTCCTTCATATTAAAATTCATATTAAATGAAATCATAGACTATGTTTATTTCATTGCCTTCTATCTATTTTATACAAGGTAAAATAAATGAAGACATCTGAAGATATAATGTTGAATGGTATCATGAATAAATTCTGAAACTTTATTTTGACATGTATTTGCTTCCATTCTTACATAATGTGTGATTTTAGAGCAAACATTTAACTTCTTGCAGTTAAATTTTCTCATGTACTAGAGATACTGATTGCAACTACCTGCCTGATAAAGTGATTATGAAGATGAACTGACATAAACTGTATAAAATACTTAGGCCAGTTTCACAAATAGTAAATACCAATACAGATAAGCTGTCACCACTGCTATTATGGTTGAAAATTAAATGTCTGTTTGGGGTTTTATTTAACAGGATGGTCTGGACGTCACTGTGAGAAGGAACTTGAGTACATTCCCCACTCATGTACTCCCAGGATGTGCATAGAAAATGAACCTGGCACCACTTGTTTCTGCATACCCGGATCTGTGGTAAAGATTATTATCAAAGATTATTGTTATGATAATTGTTTTTTTCATTGTATTTGAAATACAGGAAATAATAGAGTAAGATGTGATGAGAATGGGCTTTGTAAAAGTCTCCAGTGCCTCTCTCCTTCTCTGAACACACTGCACTTTGCTCTGCTTTCTCTCTACCCTTCTTGTTATCCATCACTTGTACCATCAGCCCTTCCTTTTAGGAGAAAAGCATTCTAATAAATTGATCCATACCAAGGTACAAGTCACTTAATGCATTGTCCTTTAATGTTTAATGCATTTGGAAGGAGGATGCCAGTAGAGGAATTGCTTAATACTGTCAGAGTCTTGGCAGAATTCCTGTTTTGCCCAAGGACACAGCACTACTTCCAGGGTGGGCTCAGAGTATTGTATGTTCAAGGAGGATGAATCTGCTTCCTCAGCAAATTGAACTAGTCTGAACTCCATTAACACTAAAATGGACTTCCCTTGCTAAAAAAAAGTCTCTATTAAAATACAGCTTTAGACCACAATACTTTATTAAAACTGACCACAGCACATGAATACAGTTAGGGAACAGCATTTGACAAAACTATATCGGGTATTTTAATGACTATTTAGATACTAAATGTATTAATATCATTGATAAATTGACTAGTCTTAACTAAGAATATGGTAAAATAATTAGAGGAGGTTGTATTCAGGTAACCTGCTCCAAGATTAAGGAATAAGACTTGAAGAGAATGTGAGGCTTGGTTGGTGTCTAAAGATGCACAAGATCCTATGGAGCTAGAGAAAGCTAGAGATTGCTTTCCAGAGCTGAAAGGTCAGAAAAGAAAGATCATCATAAGTCTTTGGAGATGGTTAAGGCATTAACAGAAAATGGCCAATAACTGTCACCAAAAGAATTTGAGAGAGCAATTATAGAAAATAAAAAATTATAAATCATCTTATATGTTTACTCTTGTATATCAGCCAATACAGTATAACATAACATCTATGTAAATGACATTAAATGTTTCGAATTATGAGGAGACCCAAGCATTACATTTGTAATTTAACAAGAAACACCAAGATAATACAAAGGATTAAATTTTTGCCTAAACATTTCATAGTAATTATCTTGTTAAGCCCTTTTATGTTAACCTAAACTTGCCTCCAACATCCTCCTTTGCATAGACCTTTAGAAAAATGTCTCTTTCATATTCTTTTTATTTACACTATTTTAAGCTGTCACTAATTACATTGTTATATAAAATGTTCATTCAACTACATGTTTATAAGATTAGAGAAGATTAATATGACTACAATTTTTTGTTTGTTTTATCATGAAGAATAATGGGAACTGAACAGCCCCTGTTGGTTGGGAGGATTGCAAGCTATTTTTTTTCTTTATATCAAAGAATTAATTTTTGGTAGATAACATTAAAAACATGAACTTTCTGCTTTATCTTCATGTTTAAAGCTATGACAATTGCTGACAAGCTGATAATTAGTGTGGATTATTCATTTTAGCAGATCCAATTGCAAAAATGTATCAAAATAAGGTGAAAGTAGTTACATTATTCTGAAATTCAAAGGCTCTGTATAAAACTTTAAGTGACAGAATACAATTTATTGGATGCCCTTGACGTGCTTAAAAATTCAAGACAAATGATCTTCTTCTTTTTAATTTGATCAGAAATGCTCATTTCCTCCATAAATGAATTTCCACCGAACAAGATTGATCCATACATTAACCCATGACTGTCAATGGGTCAGGCTTATTGCATTTTGCAAATGACAACAGTCAATAAAAAGGTTGATTACATTCTATAAACTAAAACAGAGATTTTTATGTACTCTGGAAATTGTATTTATATTAAACACAGTGGATAAAAAGAAACTATTTTTCTGAATGAGAAGAAACTGCTCCGAGTTCTCCAGCAGTACAAATATATTTATATTTTATTTGCAGTACCTGGTTTTAAAGGTCATCCTCAAAGTATGCACCCAAAAAGGAAGACACAGGATAGCAAGACTGTCTAATATTTGACTGTAGTTTAGGTGTTTATTTCCTCATGATATAAAGTCATCAACATTGTCCACAAGTGTAAGCTAAGTATTTACTGTGTTCAAGATGCCGTGTCTCATACTATTAATGAAGTTTATTCTCCTGATAAAGTAAATGAGCAATGATACAATTCTTAGCAAAGACCTAATTCAATTTTTAAGGAAAGAGGTGTTTTATTGCTTTAGACATTTATTTACATTTGGATTCAAATTTTTGACATGTTAGATCAGTCAAAACACATTCTTTGGACAATCATGATAGCAAAGTAGTTGAAAATCTTACAGAGAAATATAGAAACATATACCGTTCTTACATTCATATTAGGAAAAGAGGACAGGATCACATCTTATGAATGCATTAAAAAATCAGCAACATATCTTTTCTTCAGCCAAAATTTGATACTTTGCCTCAATATATATTGAAGACTATCTTGTGTAGATTCCCCAAAACAATATAAAAATTAATTAATTTTGACTTCTTATCCAATGACCATTGACATATATGGGCCAAATGAGCATGCAGAGGATAATAATGAAGTCAGCCATGGGCTCAACTACAGGAAGCTATATGATGAGGAAAATAAAGGAAATAACTAGGACACTGTTTGTGGTAATAATACTGAAAAAAATTATAAGGCAATTGGCAAACACTGTACAAACTAATCATTAGGAGAGCTTTCTCAAGGGACAAAATAGTACAACTTTCTCTCCTGGAGCCTAGATAGGCACTTCTGAAAGTGATAGCATTTAATCTAAACCTCATACAGGAAGCCCACCCTGTTTTTGAGGGAGTTCTCAAAACTGCTAATGAGACTAAATATTCAGTAGACATTAGAAAAAAGTGTTTGATCTGATCCTCAGGACAGAAGCACCACAAATAACAGAAATGTTTGGAACATCAACTTAATATTTTATAACTCAAAGGATATGATGAATTTTGAGGAGAAGAAGAAAGTGCAAACTGGAATGAAGACATATTTTAACTGTGCAAAGAGGAAATAATTTGCATCAAATACATATAACTTATAATGGAAAATGTAGTTTAATATTTTTAGAAGTAGATTATTTTACATAACAAAGTGTCCTAATTTTCTATAAAAAGACACAGTCCAGCTGTTATCTATAATTTAAATAACTTAGAACACTGTTTTTATTGGTATATGGAACATAGTAGAATTAGAGTTATCTAGTAGACCTAATTAGGTATTCAGGGTAATGACCATCCATCTCTCATCTTTATATATCTGTTTTATTTACTTGGTAACATACATCAACTTAAAAGTGAATAGAATTTACATCTTAGAACTTAATTAAATATAACGATCTCTGAGGCTTAGTTTCCTAAAGTATGGGAAGAGAACATGGATGAGAGAAAAGCTCAGCCACAAGTGAAATATCAAAGTTAATCCTTTGGAGAATTGGGTGTAGAATATTAAGTACTCAAACTTATATATCAGTGTTATTTTTTCATATCATTCCTCATTCATTTATAATTGTAATTTCTACATAAAATATTGGTAGAAGTAAGAATAGAAAATACTATTGAATGACTCCTAAAAATAAAACATAATTGGATTACTTATTTTCTTGATATTACTTTTTCTCCCTGTGATGGTGATCAAATTGATGGCCTCACACATGCTAGGCAAATCTTCTTCCAATGAGCTACATCCTCAGTCGTTATTGTGGTTTCTTTATCCAATTAAAAATGGACAAATAATATAAATTAACATTTCTCAAACTAATAAAGTTAAAATTATTAAAAAAATTTCTAACAAATTTAAATTAAAAAAAATTAAATTAAAAAAATTTCTAACAAATTTATTAAAGAAAAAATTTCACCATATTTAGCTGTTGGGTATATGCAAATCAAACTACAATGAGATGTCATCTTTCCACAATTAGAATGGCCACTATCAAAAAGATAATAAATGCTAGGAAAGAGCTGGAGGAACAAAATTCTTATATATTTTTGATGATTTAGTAAATTAGAATAGCCATTGTGAAGAACATTATTCAAGTTCCCCCAAAAAACTAAAAATAGATCTCTTATATAATTTAGTTATTCTGCTTCTGGATAAGTATCCAAAGGAAATGTTTTCAGCATATCAAAGCTATACTTGCCCAACCATATTTATTGCTATACTTTTCCTAATAGCTAAGATATGGATTCAGCCTCACTGTCCTTTAATGGATGAATGAATAATGGAATGTATACACACTGTGTACACATTGCATTTTATTAATTCATAAAAAGAATGGTGTCCTATTATTTATAACAAAATTAGAAGGAACTGGAACAGGAGGGCATTGTTTTAAGTCAAATAAGTCAGACAAAAAATTAATACTAAATTTTCTCTTTCATAGGTGGATGGCAAAAAGAGTTGATTTATTTATATATTAGTGATTACTAGAAGTTGAGAAGGATGATGGAAAGTATAGAAGAAGGTTGGATAACAAATACTAGAATGTAGTTAAGTGCTGTTAGAAGTAAAAAGTTCAAGGTTTCTACAGCACAGTATAGAACTATATAGTTCACAGTAGCCTAATATGTATATTTAATTATGTAGGATTGGAGACTGAACCTAGGGCCTCATGCATGTTAGGCAACTGTTCTACCATTGAACAATACTCCCAGCCTTATATAATACTCCCTATTATATAATTTATGTCTAGCAAGAAGAGATGAGGTCAAATCTCAAAACATTTTTCATCAGGATTATTTACCCTGATTTGATTGGTATACACTGAAATGCATGTATTGAAGTTCCATGATGTTCCCCATAAATATGTATAATTAAAGTAATAATATTTGATTAAAATTAAAATACAAGCATAGACTGGATTTCAAAATCCTTTCCAAAGTCTCACAACTTTGTCTTAGTCAACAAGACTTTGCACAATTAGGCCTGATAGCTTCTCTAGCCTTACCTCTGGATGATCTCCTCCTAGCTCTGTATAGT